TACACAATGGAATACTATGCAGCCAGAAGAAAGATGGAGACTTATGTTTACCTGGATGGAGCTGGAACATACTCTTCTTAATAAAGTATCTCAAGAATGGAAAACAAAGTATCCAATGTACTCAACACTACTATGAAATCAATATATAACCACCTACACACTCATATGAATGGGAAAACATAACTACAGTCCAGAAAGTAGAAGAGAAGATGAGAGAGAGCGGAGGGGAGATATGGGAGGAAGAAGGGTATGTGGGGGGACTTCACCTAATTTGCACGATGTAAAGGTACATTTCAAAACTATTAAGGAATGAGTATAATTGTGATGGACGTGTTACTTAGTTCAATATAAGCATTTCACATTGTGTATGGAAGCAGTACCCTGAACCCCATAATGCATCAATGTACAAAGTTACGATTTAAGAAAAAACTAAAAAAAAAAAAGATGATCAAAGATGAAATGAATGAAAATAAGATACATAAGTGTGGACTTAGCAGCTTTATCAACTTCAGCAGCTTGGTCAGAGAGGGTACTTTCTGACTTTGATTTGGTTTCTGCACTGTCTGCTGGAGAGATAGGTCTTTGGGAGTCTTAAGTGGACACTGCAGTGAGCTAATAATATGCTTTATTAGTATAATATATATATACGGGTGATCTGGTCAATAACATCAGCAATGTATTTCTTTACCTTCACTTAAAAACGGCATGGTGTCTCTGTTTTTAATTGTTTCCTCTGGTAACACTGCAGGCTCTTTTTTTTCATATTGTCTTTGAAGTTCTCTTGCCTCCAACGCGGCCAACGCGGCTGAAAAGTAACAATTGGCTATATTAGCAGTGGTTGGGGATAGGGATGCGGGTAGAGTGAACACAAGTCCCTGCTTCAAAGTCAGACAGACTTAGGTTTGAGTTCCGTCACTTAAACAGCTACAGCCCAATGCGAGGAGGGTCTGGGACTGACCCACTGATGGTTTGTTTTCACATAGTCTGTTGTCCAGCATAAACAGATGTACAAGAAACCCTTCAATGGGGTCAGTCCACGACACCCTGCCCCTCCCACCCCAAACTGGGATGTGAGAGCTGTGTGGCTTTGATAAATCTCTTGATTGCTTTGCCTCAATGTGGACTGTGCAAAAAGAGAATCTTTAAACTTAAAGCACTGTTTTGAGGATTACATGAAGTAATGGATATATATTAATGAAGTACTATAACTTAACTTGAAAAATAGTCTAACTTTAGTAAACACTTCACTTGAAAAATGGTTGGTACACCGGAAACCTGCTGCATGTTAGCTGTCATCCTCTGTATTATTATATAATTCTTATGTTAAAAAAAAAACTCAATATTCTCCACTAAAATTAAAATTTTTCTTAAAAATATATTGGGGCAAAATTCAAAAGCAAAAAAAAATCCCTGATAGCAAAATCTGACAAATAGCACATACACACACAAAACTCCTACTATAAACCAATCACACTTGTAAAGGGAGGGGGAAAGGCCTAAATAAACAAACAAATGTAAAAAAATGTTATAAGAAAAACACACCAGGAGCAAGTAAAGTTTACTTCAGAAATAGGAGAATGGTTGGGAATATTGGAAAATATATTAGTATAATTGAGCAAATAAAAGAGTCAAAAGATTAAAAACACGATTAGCTAGAAAGATGCCAAAAAGACACTTGATAATTTTCAACATTTGTTCCAGGTAAAAGTACTTAATAACCTTATGCAGAAACATTGGCAAGAACCCTTTTATAGAGACTCACTGTTACTGCCACTATTTAACGTCATTCCAGAATAGCTATTCTACATAATTAGCCAAAAAAAAAAAAGAAGAAAAGAAAAAGAAAGAAAGAAGCATAAACATTGGAAAAAGAGGAGTTGATATTATAATTTTTTCAAATTATAATAATGGCTTTCTGAAAGACCCACAAATCAACTGAATGTCTGCAAGAACTAGACAGTTTAATGAGGTGAATAGTTACAAATAAATATATTTGAAATACAGCATACAAATCAAACATCTTTCTCATGTTCTGGTAACAAGTACTTAGAAAACATTATAGAAAATGATCCCGGGAGAGGGGAGGGGGGAATGGGTGGAGGGAGGGGGATTGGAGGAATCACTTCTGAGGTTTATCTTACAAGGGTACAAGTGAATCTTTCTAGGAGTAGAATGTGAACGTTTTAAAATAATAACTAAGAAAATAACATGAAGGCTATGTTAACGAGTTTGATGGAAGTGTTTCCGATTGTGTGTGAAAACCCCACACTGTACCTCAGAAGTGCATTAATGTACATAGTTACCATTCAATTAAAAAAAAAAAGAAAGAAAATGATCCCATCCTGTAGGAACAAAGTGACAAAATATCTGAAAATAAACTTAAGAAAAATATAGACAATACATGAAGAAAACGGCAAAATGTGGACAGATAACAAAAACTAGACTAAAAAAATGGAGATTTCATATGTCTGCATGAGAAGATTTAAGGGTAAAGATGAGACTTCTGGCCAAATTATTATTTTATATTGTATTAACACAATCCTCCCACTGGGATTTGTTGCAGAACCTGACAACATTCCACAAGCATCCTAACATCTATTATAGTTCCCAGTACATAGTTAGCACCAATTTTCTTTTGAATAAATCAAAGCATAAACAGGAAAAAGGTTAAAACAAAATGTTTTGAGGGAGGATTTATATTACTGGATTTAAAATGTATCATAAAAACCAGCTCAGTTGCTCACACCTGTAATCCTAGCACTCTGGGAGGCTGAGACAGGAGGATCACTTGAGCTCAGGAATTTGAGACCAGCCTGAGCAAGAATGAGACCCCATTCCTACTAAAGAAAGAAAAACTAGCAAGGCATGGTGGTGCCTGTCTATAGTCCCAGCTACTCAGGAGGCAAGGGCATCACTTGAACCCAAGAGTTTGAGGTTGCTGTGAACTAGGATGACATCAGGGCACTCTACCCAGGGTGACAGAGTGAGACTTTGTCTCACGAACAAACAAACAAATAAAAAACTATCAGAAATATAGAGAAAGATCAAAAAATAGAACGTTCAAAAATGTATACCTCCTCCTACACACCCACTCAAACTCAATATTAAGATAAAATGGCAGTTCCGTAGAATTATGGATAATTTAGTAATTGTTATTTGTAATAGTAGTTCACACCATTTGGGGAAAAAATGAATTTAGATATCTCACACAAAATTTATTATAATAATTATATCACAATTAGAAGGCAGCAGAAGACCTTTTGAAGTGAGTGAAGGTCATTTTGCATTTGCCGTAGGATCATAATTAATTATTATGAAGATGAATCGAAAGAGAGCGAGAGGTGAAGAACAGAAACTAGAGTCTTAATAGCAGGTATCTCTGGGGAGTAGGGATCGCTGAGTTTCCCTTTCCTCTGCTTTTTACAGTTTTCGGTGCTCATTTAAGAGGCATAGCAGAAAAGAGCACAGACATTGATCCGTACCCCAGTCACTTGCTAGTGGTCATCTATGGGCAGTTACATAACTCCTCTGAGTCTTACTTTCTTTATCCATTAGAATTGGAGATGACAATATCCGCCTCATAGGCGTGTCATGAGGATTAAGTAGGATAGTATATGCAGTGCGGTTAGCATTGCTCCAGCATTCAGTAAATTCTCCATACGTATCAGCTATAATTACTTTTGTATGAGAAAAATGTTATTAGGAAAAGGATATTTGGAATAGAGGCCTTGATGGCCACATCAGGCGATGGGACGGTGCACTACCATAGCTTTGGGGACTGCAAACAGTGATGACTAAATCGAGTCTAAAGCTGCCGGAGCTAATCTTCAATTTTTGGGTCCAGATCTTGAACGTAATGAAGAGCCCATGCGGTGGACAGGGAGTGCTACCTTAAGGGTATTGCGTTAACAGCAGAAGTTTAGATTAAGCTAGTTTCATGTTTTCTAATACGACTAGTTACAAGGGTGCCAAATAGACAATTAATAAATTCAAAAGTAGTTATGGAATGAGAATTCTTCATTTTCCTGGAGAAAGATAGAAAAAAAGAACAGGAAAACAACTTTGTGTTGGTTTTGAAACTATGTGACCGACAGTGGAAGAGGCAGAATGGTCAAGGGGGCTTTGGACACAAGGGTTCAAGTCCCAGCTATGCTACCAGCTGGGTGCTTTTCAGGGCGCCATTTAACCTCCTTGAGCCTCAGTTTCCTCATCTGTAAAATTAGGGAATTGTGTTAATTGATCACCAAGGCTTCTTCTAGTTTCCCTGTATTATGATTTTTTTTGGGGGGGGGAGGCAGAGTCTCACTATGTCACCCTCAATAGAGTGATGTGGTATCACAGCTCACAGCAACCTCAAACTCTTGGGCTTAAGTGAGTCTCTTGCCTCAGCCTCCCAAGTAGCTGGGGCTACAGGTGCCCGCCACAATGTCCAGCTATTTTTTTGTTGCAGTTGTGGTTGATTTTAGCTGGTCCAGGCTGGGTTCGAACACCCCAGCCTCAGTGTATGTGGCTGGCACGGTACCCACTGAGCTATGGGAGCCACCCTATGACTTTTTGAGTTTGGAATTATTATTTCCCAAATAGAAAGATTCAATTGCAATCAGGGCAGACCCATAAGCCTAAAACAACAGCAAACTCCACAAGAATCGGGTGGATTCTGGTCATTTGAATGACTGATGTAAATAAAGATATAATAAATCCTGCTTTGTCTGCCTACTAAGTAGATTCATAAAAGTAAAAAAAAAAAAAAAAGAAAAGAAACTTCACAAAAACCCAAATTTGGAAACTCCTTCTGATTCCTTTCCTTAGAGGTCTAGTATTAATTGTTTTTCTCTGCTTGTTGAATTGGTTTAAGCCCATCTATTCTTTCAACCATTTGTCAAGAGACTACAACGTGTGAGTTTCCAAGGACACCAACAGGAACTGAACAAAATCCTTGCCCTCAAGTACCCAGGCTTGTGTACCTGAGCTTAAACATACATTTTAAAAACATGGCTCACCTTGTTTTCTAGCTTGTAGTTCTGTGAGAAGCTTTTCTTTCACAGCTTGAATAGCTGCCTCAGTGGCCTTATCTATAGTATTTTTTATTAATGTTTCACGGGCTTTATCAAAACGGGGTTGAACATGTGTAGCATAGTCAATTACCTGCAAATAATATTTGAGAAAATCAACATAACTACAAGTTTTTTTTAACCATTAAATACACTGCTCATCTATTTATATTTCTACCTATATTCTAAAAATATTAATACTGCCTGAGGTAATTTTGGAGTTCTGTTTAGAAGTCACTTACTTTTGAGTACTCGCTTCAATAGAAATTCAGTCATTTTTTATGTGAGATATACATAATACACACCATGGAATACAGACTATAGCTATATAATACATATTATGTAATTATATATAATATAGATTATGCAATATTCAGGTTGCATATATATTTTTGGCTTAACAGAAATTAAAAATATATAGAGAGAAAGATATATTTGAAATCAACTTTGTAGGCTGAGCATGGTGTCTCATGCCTGTAATCTTAGCACTCTGAGAGGCTGAGGCCCATGGATTGCTTGAGCTCAGGAGTTTGAGACCAGCTTGAGCAAGAGTGAGACCCTCTCTCTACTGCAAATGGAAAAATGAGCTGGACATCATGTTGGGCACCTGAAAAATGAACTGGGCATCATTTTGGGCACTCAGCCCAGGAGTTTGAGATTGCTGTGAGTTATGATTGGCATGGTACTCTAGCCTGGGGCAACAGAGTGAGACTCTGTCTCAATATAATAAAATGTAATAAACTTGGTAAAATAATTTACATACAATGAAAGGCACACATTTTAGATACACAATATGATGAGTTTTTATGAACATACATGTAATGATAACTATAACAAAGATTAAGAACTTTTATATCACCCCTAAAATTCTCTTATGCTCCTTTGTGGTCAATTCCTTCCCCTCCCCTCCCCTCCCCTAGTTTTTATTTTGGTTCCTGGCAACCATGTTCGGCTTTCTGTCACTATAGATTAGTTTTGCTGTTTCTAGAATTTCATATAAATGAAACACAGCAGATGGGCAGTGCCTGTGGCTCAAAGGAGTAGGGCGCCAGCCCCATATACTGAAGGTGGTGGGTTCAAGCCCGGCCCCGGCCAAAAACTGCAAAAAAGAAAAGAAACACGGTATATAATCTTTCTTTATCATTTTAATTTTTTTGAGACAGAGTCTCATTTTGACATCCAGGCTAGAGTGCCCTGGCATCAGCCTAGCTCACAGCAACCTCAAACTTCTCAGTTTAAGCAATCCGACTGCCTCAGCCTCTGGAGTTGTGGGGACTACAGGTGCCTGCCACCAGGTGCAGCTAACTTTTCCTGTTTTTAGTAGTGATGGGGTCTCTAATTCTTGTTCAGGCTGGTTTCAAACTCCTATGCTCAAAGGGTCCTCCTGCCCTCCTGGAGTGCTAGGATTACAGGCGTGAGCTACAGTGCCCAGTCCCCAGTATATAATGTTTTTCAGGCTTTTCCTGTTTAGCACAATGTTTTTGAGATTTCTCAGTATTATTGCAGGTATCGTTTTTATTCCTGAGTGTTATTTTATTGTATGACTATACCACAGTTTTTTATCCATTCATCTATAGATAGACATTTGGGTTGTGTCCAGGTCTGGCAATTATAAATAAAGCAGTGACAAACATTTGTACAGAAGTCTTTTTGCGGACATGTGTTTCCATTTCTCTTGGGTAAATACCTAGGAATGGAATTACTGGGCCACGTGGTACGTGTAAATTTGTCTTTATAATAAGCCATCAGACTGTTTCTGAAAGAGTTGAACTATTGTATATCCTTACCAGCAATGTATTCAACTTTGCAGTGTTGCAGCTTCTCTACCAGTAACTGGCTTTGTGAATCTTAAATTTTTAGCTATTCGAGAGGATGTGAAAAAGTATCTCATTGTAGCTTAAATTTACATTTCCTTCATCACTAATAATTTTGAACTTTTTTATGTGCTTATTCACTTGCTCTTTTTAAAGTGTATGCTCAACTTTTGCCTATATTAAAAGTTGTATTAGAAGACTTTATGTGCTCTGGATATAAGTCGTGAATGTTGGGCCTTTCGAAGTACATTGACATACGCCTTTTAAGTTCAATTAATATTTCCAGATCCCTAGATTCCACTCTGCTTTCCCTTAATAGGCTTATTTTGTTTTATTCCTTGCCATTAAATCTACATTACACCATCAGTTCTTAGTGGGTGCATAGAATTGTGTTAGGTGAAAACATTACAACTTACTTAACTAAAATGCCAATGATATATGTTTAGGTATACATATTTTTGCTGTTATAAACTAAACTGTGATGAACACAATTATATACATATCTTTGTCTGAGCTTCTTTGGGAAAATCCATAAAGGAGAACTGACATTTTGAAAAATGTGCGTGGATTTTAGGCGTGCAGATGTATTTCCAGTTGCTTTGCTTAATGTTTGTATTCTTACCAGCAATCTGTAAGAATGTATTTTCCCCATTCTGTTGGGCGTTACCCATTGATCTTACTAACAGCCTCAATACTGGATGTTGTGGGTGTTAGTAACAGTTTTATAAATCTAACAATGAGATCACCACGGCACATCTTTGGGTTTTTTGGCATCTCTCTATTGGGGAAGCAATATCCTCTTTCTAACGCTTAATGACTCCCTGTGCCTGTAATCTTGCAAATTGTCTATTTGCTATTTTTTCTCTGTTGGGGCTTCATCTGAGAATTGATTTGTTTCCTTGTATTTTAAAAGGATCATTTTTTTATCTGACACATATTGTGACAGGCTTAAAATATGTCCACAAATCCTTTGGTACGCTTCCCTTCAGAGGATGGAAGCTAATTCTCCTCTGCTTTAGTGTAGGTAGAACTTAGTGACTTACTTTAAATAGAATGCAGCGCAAATGACAATGGGTGATTTCTCAGACTATATCATGAAGAACATGGAACCTTTCTCCTTGGTTCACTCTCTCTGAGGGAAGCCAATTGCCATGTCGTGAGGACATATAAGTAGCCCCAGGGAGAGATCTATGTGGCAAGAACTGAGGCCTTAGTCATGTGACTGAGCCATCTTCCAGCTCAGCCACGCCTTCAGATGTGTGCAATCCCTGCCAACTTTGTGACTTTAACCTCACAGGAGAAACTAGCACAGAACCACAGAGCCAAGCCACTCCTGAATGCCTGACCCAGGAAAACATGCAAGGCAATAAATGCTTATTGTTGTTCCAAGCTGCCAGGTTCTTTGTTGTTGTTGTTGTTGTTGCAGTTTGGTCAGGGCCGGGCTTGAACCCTCCACCTTTGGTATATAGGGCCGGCGCCCTATCTTCTGAGCCATAGGCACCGCCCACCTGCTAGGTTCTAGAGTAATTTTTTACGCAGCAATACATAACTGATAGACACATGGCAAATGTATCCTCAATATTTTCTTCTACATGCTGTCGTATGCTCAATTGTTCATAGCTGAATTATATAGAACATTTTCATTTTTTATTCTTGGAGAATCTGGGGGTGGATCTGCTTAGTTTTCTATGTATCTGTTGATAATGAATTCCCAGACTTCATCCCAAATACAGATTTCTCCTTGATACATTTGAACACATCAGGTAATCTTCTTCCTGGAGATATCTCTTCTGGAGCCTTCCGGACTCCTGCCCTAATCTGGATTGGCTATTTTTTAAGCTTTCTAGGTTTACCATCATGGACCTTCCACTCCCCACCGTCTTGGGATGCTTTCCCTTCTTCCCTGTTATGGATACTCTTTTTCTCTGGATTCCATGTCTCCTTCTGGGTTTTAGCTCCCATTTTGATGGTGCACATCCTCTAGTAACTTCCTGGAAAATAATACATGGCAGGTAATTTTTTGTGTGACTGCACTTATCCTCATTCTATTGTCTTGATTTGCCTGAATATAAAATTCCAGTCTATAAATCACTCCCTGCAGAATTGTTCTGGCTTCTAAAGTTGCAGTAGAGAATTTCCATGCTATTCAAATTCACAGTCATTTGCATGTGACCTAGTTTTTCTCTCCAGTCTTCTAGGCTCATTTCCCCAGAAGCTTCTGGACTTTTGCCCCCTTTGTCCTATAATTTCAAAGTGATGGGCCTTAGTGTGGGTCTTTTTCCATCCATTGCACTGGGCATTTGCTGGGTCATTTCTATCTGGGAACATGTCCTTCAGTTTGGGAAAAATTCTGCAGTTATTTCTTTAGTAATACTCTCTTGTTTGCTATCTCATCCTAGAATTCCTATTATGATGTTGAATATCCTGGACTGGACTTATAGTTTCTTTTCTAGTCTTTCCCCCATTTCTTTGCCATTTTGTACTAATTTATAGGAGGTGACTTTAATTTTTTATCTTGTAACCTTCTATTGCATTTTTCACTCATGCTATTATATTTTGATTTCAACAGTCTCTTTTTGTTTTCTAAATGTTCCTTTTTCTTTGTGTATAGTATCATGTTCTAGTTTCTAGATTCAATAATTACTCTTATCTCCCAGAGGATATTGATAATGAAAAGCTTTTTTTTTAATTTTTAGTTTTTAACATAGGTATGGTTTCTTTACTCTTTGGTGATCTGGCTTGGCAATTGCATTGTGAAACCTTCAGTTGTCAGAAGGCCGAAAGTGTGATATTGATCTGAAAATGTCTACCTTATGTCATTTCTCGAGGACATTTTCACTTGATATTTATTTCCAGGATGACTTCTTTCTTATCGTTTCATTGTCTTTTGTTTGCCATTGCTTCCAATGAAGTCAATCATCACTGGCATCATTGTTTTCTTGTAGTTTTCCATGGTATCATTTTCTGTGGCCACTTTAGGATTTTTCAGTGTTGAATATGTACCTAGATACAGTTCTCCTTGTGTTCATCCTGCTTAAGGCTTCTTAGATCTATATAATTGGTCTATAATTTTTGGGGGGGAGGTGGGGGGAGTTGTTGGTTTAAGAAATTCTGGCTATTATATCTTCAAGTATTTTTCCACTATCTTCTCCTGGGACTTCCACTTCTCCTTCTGGGACTCCATTAGCACACAATAGACCATTTAATCTGTCACACAGGTCCCTGAAGCTCTGTTTATTTTCTTTAATTTTTTTTTTCACTCTCTCTCTATTCTTTAGGCTATACATTTTTTGTTGATCTGTCTTCAAGTTCTCCCATAAACTCAAATCTGCTGTCAAGCTAATTCAGCACAATTTTCAGTTCAATTTTTCTATTTCTAGTGTAGGAGTTTGATTTGGTTCTTTTTTAAAAGTTTTCCTTATCTCATGAGATTACCTCTTTGTTCTCTTAGAAAGATTTTGTCTGCTAAATCCAACATCTGGTCCATTTCAGGGTCAGTTTCTATTGCCTCCTTTTTCTTGAAATGAGTGACATGTTCCTGTTTCTCTAGCTATTTGTTGCCTCTTTTTCTAATGTTGCTTGTCTTTTTCCTTTTGATTGGTACTGCTCTAGGTATATAGTGCTAGAAACACTGTTCTAGTTCTATTTGTTTCAAAGATATTGTATATCCTTTTTAAAAACTGAGGCCTTGTACCCTTGTAATATGCTCCAAGTCAAATCTGTCAAGTGTAGAACATAAATGTCTTAACACAATAATCAAGTAAATGAGGCAAAAGCTATGTTGATTGGTTTGATGTAAGCATGTCAGATTGTATAAAAAAATCAACGCATTGTACCCCACATATGCATAAATGTATTCATGATCTATGTGTATATGACTAAATAAGATAGATAAATAAATAAATATAGGAAGTAAAAAAAATTGAGGCCTTATATCAGATAAATGTTTTATATTTTGATGAAATCTTATTATTAACCTTAAAAATGTTTCTAGGTATATTACCTGTCCAATTGCTGCATAAGAAAATACTGCCAAACTTAGTGAAATTAAAGCAACATTCATTATTTCAGCATCTGAAGACCACAAATAACTTCTCCTGATTTTCACAGTAGTCTTACTTGCAGCAATATGGCCCTTCATGCGGCCAGCAACATTTCTAACTCACATGAGGAAATTTCCCGATACCTGCATATGAGTTTGATATTTTAGCAAATGTATTTGAAATTCATCATGATTTTTGTTTCTGCATACTCTAATTAAAAATGTAGAATTTCATTTGGAGATATGAATATAAACAGTGTTTGAAAAATGTTTAATGGGACATGTGTAAAGTCTATTAAGTTTGAGTATTAAAAACCACTGATGCTTTACACTATTATGGTGGTTCTCGATCTTCCTAACGCTATGACCCTTTAATACAATTCCTCATGTTGTGGTGACCTTCAACCATAAAATTATTTTTGTTGCTACTTCATAACTGTAATTTTGCTACTATTATGAATCATAATGTAAATATCTGATATGCAAGATGTATTTAGGCAACCCCTGTGAAACAGGTTGCGACCCACAGGTTGAGAACCACTGCTTTACAGAATAATATCTGTGGATATATTTTAAGGGTATGCTTGAGGTATAAGACTCTTGCACGATCTGAGAAGGGTAAAAGTATCATTGATTTTCAATGTAACAAGTCATACATGACTTCTCCAGTGACTCATTCAAGAAAATTATATATAACATTCCAGATTATAGAGGGAAGTTAAAACTGACAGTACCTATAATAGCATCAACATCCATCAAATATCTAGAAGTCTATGCAAACCTTTACACAGAAAACTCTAAGTTATTACTAATATAAATTAAACAAGAGTAAATAAATGGTAGAATATATCATGTTCATGGACTAGGAGAGTCAATATTGTATAGATGCCCCTTCTGCCCCAATATATAGATCTGATGTGATCCCAGTTAAACACAATGATTTTTCTATATAAATTGCAAAGGACTAAGAATAGCTGATGCACTCCTGAGAGAGGACAGCAGAATGGAAAACTGTTCTACTTGCCATCAAGACTTATTATAAACCTACAATAATTAACTCAATGTATATTGGCAAAATAGAATGGTGGAATAGATCTCTGAGCCCCACATGGACCTACACATATATAAAGACATGACTTAAGACAAAGGGGGTAAAACAGTGGATGAAGGACAGCTTTTTCTTAAATGATCCTGGAACAACTAGATACCTATATAGAAAAAAGTAAAACTTACCCCATACTTCACATCATAAAAAAGACATGTCTGGATAGGTTATATAACTAAATGTGAAAGTCAAAACAATATAGCTTTTAAAAGTTAATATAGGACAATATCTTCATGATGTTTGGGTGAAAAAATGTGACATAAGAAAAAGCACTAGTGATAACAGACAAGGAGATAAATCATTTTCCATGAAAAGTCAAGAACTTCTGTGTATTAAAATATGCCATTTAAAAAATGAAATGACCAATCACAGAGCGATAGACAACCCTCGTGATGTTTATAATCAAAAAGAACGTGTATGTACACAATATAAGGAACACTTACCTATAATATGTAAAAATCCCATAATAAAAAATGGTTAAGAATCTTAAACAAACACTTCAAAAAGTGGCCAGCAAACATGAAAAAATTTGACTTGTTAGTCATCAAGTTTTTAATAAATTAATAAACCACACTGAGATACTACTATGCACCCTCTAAAATGACGTTAGGAAGACTGACCATGATAAGTGTTGGCAGGAATATGGCATGACAGTACTCTCAGACACTGCCGATAGTTTTATAATTAGTAGAACTAGTTTGGAAAACAGTTTGGCATTATCTACACAAGTTGAATATCTGCATACACTATGTCCCAGAAATTGTCTTCCTAGATCTATCTCAAAAATGTATAAATATGGGCACGTGTGCATCAGCATGTAAGAATGTTCCTCATACGTTACCTGGAATCAATTCAAGTTTTATTAGCACTCAAATGTGGATGAATAAATCATGGTATAATTTAATCATCAGAATACAATTAAAAATACAAAATGAACAAACTATAGCTATATGCAATAACATAGATAAATAGTACAATCAGGGCAGTGCCTGTGTCAAGGAGGAGGGTGTTGGCCCCATATACTGGGGGTGGCGGGTTCAAGCCCAGCCCCAGCCAAAACTACAAAAAAAAAAAAAAAAGGTACGAAGAGCAAATTATTTAAGTCATAAAGTGCAAAAAAATATACAAAACTAACATATGGTATTTAAATGTATGCTTTCATGACAAAACCATAAAAGAAAAATACAGAAGTGAATACCATCAAATTCAGGGCAGTGGTTACCTTTGTGGGGGAAGTGTATTGAGAAGCATGGAGGGGTTTCTGGGGGTGCTGTCAGCATTCACCATTTGACCTTGGTGGTGGTTCTAGGGGGTTCATTTTATGATTAACTCAGTGGGCTTCCCTTTTCTGTATGTTTGTTGTAATTTAGAATTACAAAGTTAAAAGAAAATGGAAAATGTTACCCCTTGTGCTTAAAACAATCAAATAACACATTACACAACTTCAGCCCCTTCCCGTGGCTTGCTGCGTCTTTCAGCCACCATCTTGTGCCATCCTTTCACAGGTGATACTCCGGTCACACTGACCTTCTCAATCCCTCATCTTTGGCTCTGCCATTAAATGATTACTTATATCCAAAATCTGCCTTCTTACCACCTTTACTTTTACTACTATTATTTTGGTCTGAGCTAAAAATAGTTCCTCTTCATTTATGGAGAGTGAAGAACAAGGTCACTGGGAGAGATTTGGGGAGGTCAAGGAATTGACAGACCAGGGCACTGGGAGGCTCATCGTTGTAGAAACTAAAATTACCAGGAATTTGGGCAGGGCGGTGAGAGTGAGCCAGGAGGAGCGAGACTCAGGAAATAGATGAGTGGAACCAAGAGAGGTAATGGGTGGCCTGGTCTAGGGGACATGCCATTTAAATCTGGGGGTTCAGGTTTCTGACATGGCAATCAACAGCAAGGTGATGCCTTCCCCGCCCCCAGTCCAGTTACACAGTCAACAGTGCAATACGCTGAGTGCAAATAAAATCCTACAAATCGTAATCAAGGATAGATATTTAAAAAAGAAAACTAATTAAACAGGCAATTACCTTTCCTTTGTAATGTTCTGCGAGCAAATTGCTCAGTGTTGTTTTCCCTGAATTGTGAGGTCCACATACGAATATTTTACATGGTGGTACTGGCATAGGTGGAAGAAGATAAGGACGTGGGTTCAGTAAAAACGTTTTTAATGTTTCTTCGGATGAAAGACAGTACATTTTACCTAGAAAACTTAAAATATGCCATGACAATAAACAACCGAAAAGACATATGGGCAAGTTTTAAAATTCGGTTCTGAAAATCTTACTTACCTGACAGCAAAATCTGGTGATCCTGCATAAATGTGACCTTTTTTTAAATTCACAGGACACGTACGTCCCCATCGGCTTCTCTGCCATCTGTATCGAGGTGCAATAAGTTTATAAGATGCGACAGTGCGGAGCAGCTCATCCTGTGGATGGCGAGTTATTAAGAATTTTATACAGTCAAAAAGTGGCCATAAGTTTTGCTGAAATTTAGCAGCATTCAATATTTCATTTTTTTTATTTGATAGTGCTGGACTAGTTAAGAAATGATTTAGAAAGCAAGTTTTGGCTTCTGAATTGCAGGATTTTGCACTTGCCCTAGATTTAATATTCTAGTTTCCATTTCTCTTTTTAAAAAAACTCGTTTAAGGTTTACTGAGCAGTTTCTATCACCTGGTAGAATGAACATGAGGGAGACAGAGCATTTTCTATCATCTTCCCTGGAAAACAGATTCTGAAAAATTCTTATGGGAAAATTTTGAAAATGTGCCAGATTCTTAGTTAATTATCTAAGCCTTTAAATAGTTATAAGCTACTATATATCTGCATATATAGTATATATATACTATATATGCACATGTATTTTTACATAATTTACACACACACTTATACGTGCCCCATTTTGTTTATCCACTCACTAATAGACTTTGGGCTATTTCCACCTTGTGGCTATTGTGAATAAAACTGTTATGAATATTGGTGTAAAAGTGTCTGTTTGAATTTTTGCTTTCAATTCTTTGGGGGAAATCCCTAGAAGTATAGTTGCTAGATGATATGGTAATTCTATGTTTAATTTTTTGAGGACCCACCAAGCTATATTAAACAATGCTGCATCATTTTACATGCCTAGCAGCAATAGAAAGTGTCCAATTCTCCCCATCCTTATCAACACTTGTTATTTCCAGGTTTCGGGGATAATAGCCACACCAGTGAGTATAAGGACGGTATATCTCTTTGTAGTTTTGATCTTCATTTCCCTAAAGACCAGAGATGCAGAGCATCGTTTCATGCACTTATTGGCCATTTATATTTTTTCTTTAGAGAAATGTCTATTCAAGTCCTTTGCCCGTTTTTGAACTGGGCTGTTTTACTGTTGTAAAGTATTAAGGTTGTTCTTTATATATTCTGGATATTAGTCCCTAATCAGATATGACTTGAAAAATTCTTCTCCATTGTGTGGGTTGTCTTTTCATTCTGTTGACAGTATCCTTTGATGCATAGGTTTTAAATTTTGATGAAGTCCAGTTTCTCTATTTTTTTCTTTTGTTGCCTGTGCCTTTGATGTCATATCCTGTTCTGTTTTGTTTTACCTAATGCCAGATGGAGCCCTATCTTGGAATTATGTTTTAACTGGTCTGGGCACTTGTCTATTTTAAAAGCTTCCTAGATGACCCCACCTTGTAGTTAGGACTAGAAATCACTGATTCAAATATTCCCATTATATTCCTTTTCTCAAGATCACCTGCCTTTAGCTGAAGAGTGTTCATCTTCCAAACACACAAGAACTTGGAAATTAGTCAACTATAATCAACTAAGCTCCTTTAGTGTCCCAGCCATTCAAGTAGGGATTCTCGAACTTAAATGGACATCATTCTAGATCTTGTAAAAATACATTTTCAGGTATCACCTCCAGACATTCTAGTTCGATCAGTTGGGGATATGGAGCTAAAGAATTTGTGTTCATAGTAAGATTCCCAGGTGATTCTTTTGGAGGTGGTCTGGACTGCCAGGAAAAAAAATACTGCTTACAGTATATAAATAATGACTCCAGTGCACATGGTCACAAATTATTCCCCTTCATAAAAAAGGGAGCAGGCACACGTGGTTATACATCTTATGATAATGTATGTAATAATTTCTAAGGACAAACTTTCTAGCTGGGAAGCTGCCTGCAGGTTTAATGGATACTTCTTATTTTTCTGTCAATAATGACCTGGAAGAAGAGGTCTCAGCACACAGTCCATTTTTCCTAGCCTTTGTGCTGACCAGGCCCACCTTTCTTTCTCTTCAGCACCAGTACATATTACAGAGGCCAAGTAAATCAACAAGAAAAGATCAAACAACTCCATAAAAAACTGGACAAGAGCCAGAAATAGAAACTTTTCTCCAAAGGACAGACTAATGGTTGACAAACACAGGAAAAAAAAGGTCAGTGTCCCTAATCATCAGAGAAATGAAAACTCAAACCCACTTTGAGATATCACCTAATCCCAGTGAGAATGGCCCACATCATAAGCTCCCAAAGCAACAGATGCTGGTGTGGGCGCAGAGAGAAACAACATTCATGCACTATTGCTGGGACTGCAAACTAGTACAGCAGCCTCTATGGAAAGAAATATGGAGAATCCCCAATGAACTAAAAGTAGACCATGTAATACCACTACTAGGTATTTACTGAAAAGAAAAAAAATGACATTTTATCTTAAAGACATTTGAACCCAAATGTTTATAGCAGCACAATTCACCACTGCAAAGATTGGAAACAGTCCAAGTGCCCTTCTACACATAAATGGATTAATAATTGTGGGATATGTAGACCATGAACTACTATTCAGCTACAAAGAAAGATGGAGATTTTGTCTCGTAACAACCTGGATGGAATTGGAGACAATTCTCCTAAATGAAGTATTACAAGAATGGAAAAACAAATATCACATGTATTCAGGACTACATTGGAACTTGTAGATTATCCTATGTGCTCACATGAGAGAAACACTCAGTGAAATTCAAGTTGGGGGTAGGGGTAAACGGATTGGGTAAATTCCCACCCCTTGTGGGAAGTGTGTGCGGATATAGTGCACACTTTCTGGGTGAAGGACACACCTATAACTCAGACTTTAACCTGACAAAAGCAAACGATGTAACCTAGTCATATGTACGCCCATATTAATCTGAAATTTAAAAAAATTTTGTTGAATGATTATAGAGTTGAGGGCTTTTATGTCATTGCTTTCTTTGGTGCTACAAAAATAAACTGGATTTCTTTCTTTTTCATTATTCCTATTGATCTGATCTGATTGTTTTTCTGCTTCCAAAGTTTTGTTGTGTTGTGTTTAGTGTCTAAAAGAATATTGTGCTAATATTATAGCTTCTTCCCAGAAGCCAAATCCATTTTTATAAAAGGTATCCTGAAACTCCTTTTAAAACTTAAAGGTATACAATTAAGGTCACACATACATGGAACAGGTAGACTTTCAAACAGTTAAAGACAACTCACAGTTTCCATTATGTCATTCGTTTCTTCCTCTGAGCTCTGAAGTTTGATTAAAACAGCTGCTGTTTTTAGGTTCAGATATTTAAGCCGTTCTATAACTATCTGAATTAAAAAACAAATGTTTAAAAACATCAGCATTTGACTATCTGAAACATCCTGTCCGTGTTGGGCTCATGGTTTAAACTTTCAATCCCTGCAGGACTCTGAGTAGATGCCTTGATTGCTCGTCCCGGCTTCTAGTGGCTGTTGACATCTTTGGTATTTCTTGGCTTGTATAGGCAGCATTTGGATCTCTGCCTCTAAGGTCACATAACCATCTTCTCCCCATGTGTCTCAGTCTCTTCTCCTAATTGGGGCTCACCCTAACGCTGTATGACTTCATCTTAACCTGATTACACTTGCAAAAATCTTATTTCCAATAAAGGTCACATTCAAAGGTATTGCAAGTAGGGCTTCAATATATCTTTTTGAGAGATACATTTCAACATATAATAGTCTGCTCTCTGGCCCCCAAATATTCACATCCTTAGAGGTCTGGGTCTACAGGACCTCTTTGGCAAAGGGAAGACAGCCATGTGAAGATGGAGGCAGAAGTTATGTAGTCATAAGCCCAGAAATACCTAAGGCTACCAGAAGCTGGAAGAGGCACGAATGGATCCTCCCCCGGAGGCTCTGATGGGGGCATGGCCAAGCCAGCACCTTGATTTTGAACTTATAGCCTTCCAGAACTATGGAGCATAAATTCCTGTCATTTAAAGCCACCCAGTTTGAGGCACTTTGTTATGGCAACCCGAGAAACAAATATAGATCCTACGTGGAAGAATCTAAAAAAGAGAGAGAAAGGATAGTATATAGAACTATGAAACCAGATAGCATCCCAACAGTTTGTGGTAGTCTGCACTAGAGTGTGTTATTGGCTCACAGTCAGCCTTCCCTCCCCCTGCGCCTCAGTTCCCTAGTTCACCTGGAATGAAGTACACCTCCCTACCCCATTAACGCTGAGCTTCTCCAAGTCACTTGCTCTGACCAATGGAGTGTGGGTGAGGTGCCAGGGAACCAGTTCCAACTGGTACCTTAATGGGGCTCTTGGAGTTTCTGCCCTTGCCTTGAGGAAAGTGTGTTCCAGCTAGGAGACAGTGGTGATGTTCTGGCTATGTTTTGAAGGAGAAGCCTGCTGTGTATGGTGATGGAGGAGACATGGGATGTAAGGACACAATAAGAGGAGGGCAGCTGGCCAGATGGATGGGACATTTAATGACAGAGGAGAACTGTGGAGGGGTGTGTTTGGGACGGGGGGTTGGGGGATTTTGATTTTAATTTAACACTTTAATTTGAGATGCATATTAGACATCTAACTGGACATATATAGCAGTTGAGTACCAGTGGAGTATACAAGTGTGGAATTCGAGGGAAAGATCTGGGAAAATAACATGAATTTAAGAGTTGCCAGTGTTGGCTCGGCACCTGTGGCTCAAGCAGCTAAGGCGCCAGCCACATACACCTAAAGTGGCGGGTTCGAATCCCCAGCCTGGGCCCGCCAAACAACAATGACGGCTGCGACCAAAAAATGGCCAGGCGTTGTGGCGGGCGCCTGTGGTCCCAGGGGGTGGGGGAAAAGACTCGCTTGAGCCCAGGAGTTGGAGGTTGCTGTGAGCATGATGCCATGGCACTCTACCCAGGGGGATAGCTTGAGGCTCCGTCTCAAAAAAAAAAGAGTTGCCAGTGTTTAGAGAGCATTTAAAGCCATTAGACTGAAGGAAGTCTCCTAAGGAGTGAGGGCAGACAGAGAAGAGTTCACAGGAGTAAGCTCCAGTGTCCTCCAATGCTGGAGGTAGAGATTTAGACCCCAGTAAGGTGCATGGACCTACTGTGGTGTGGGGTTCAAGAAGTCAAGGGAAGAAGGGACCAGGGAGGAGAAAGTAATCAGGGTGTTAAATGTTGCTTCTAGATTGACTTAGATAGAGACTGAAAAATGGCTGCTGGCTTTGGTCATGAGGAGATCACTGGTGGTCTTGGCAGGAGTGCGAATCAAGTGAAGAGCTTCCTCCTGATTTGGCTCCCCCACTAGCATCATTATCACGTTGCCACTAATGAGATGGAGCCAGGAATCTGGGCCTTGTCTTTGACTTTTCTCTCTCCTTTAATTCCTCCATTCATTTGCCCATCGAGTTCTGTCATGTAGACTTTTTACATAGCTCTCAAATTTGTCCTCTTCTGTCTACTCCTGCTGCCACCAACCTAGGTTAGGCTACCATCTCTTACCTGATCGACTACAAAAGCAAGAATTAGTCTTCCTACCACCAGTTTGATTCTCCTCGTGTTTTTACTTGGCACTGCACTCTGGGTGATCTCTCTTAAATAGAAATGGGATCATTTCCATTCTCAGGCTTAAAACCTTTCGCTGGCTTCCTGATCCCTCGTGATGAGGTCTAAACCCTTTGACATAGCTCACAGGTCTTTCTTTCCTGGTGCAACTCTTGCTTATTTCTGGAGTCTTGGCATTATTTCATCCCCACCCTCCAACCCCCCGTATATTCCAGTCCTACGTTCAGTTCTTACAACCCACGATGCTCTCCTGGCCTCTGGGGCCTTTATGCAAAGCCTCAGAGGGACTCTTCCCTCAGCACAGAGCACTACTCCATCTCTCTCCCCTCCACTTCTCTTCAAGGTCTAATGCTTACTAGTCCATTAAGTTTCAATTTTAAGATAATACAGACAGGTGATCCTCTTCCCAAACTAGGTTTTGTCCATCTGCTATAAGCACCTATGTCACTTTGCACTTCCCTGATGACAACACAAACTGTTGATCTCGAAATATTTATTTTCCCCAACATATTGTATCCTACATCAGCAAAAGGACTCAGGGATGCATCTGCTTTCTTTCCATGAGCAAAGGGACCCAGGGATGCATCTGCTTTCTTTCCAACTGTATTCCCAGAGCTTATAATACTAGATTCCTATTAGGTATTTAGGAAACAGTTACTGGTTTTGTATCACCTTATTATTTTTTGTATAATATTTTTGGGTTCCAAATTTCTCCACATCCTTACCAACACTTGTCCTTGTCTGTTTTGGCTTTGCTTATTATTGTTAATTTTTCATTCGGCCATCCTAGTGGATGTGAAGTGGTACGTGATTATGGTGTGGAATGGGTTTCCCTCACGACTATTGATGTTAAGTATCATACCACGGCTTATTCATTGCCATTTGCTGTTCGTTTTCTTTAAGTCACCTTTTGCCAAACTGAGATTTTAAATGCAAATATAGTTTTGGTTTACATAGGAACAGATGAATAAACATAACATCAAAATTTTAATTGTCAAAACACATGTTTCAAAAATAAATGGTGTTCAAATATAAATGAATTTTTCTGTCTATCAAAATAAGGTACAGCGGGTGGCACCTGTAGCTCAGCACGGGCCGCATACACCTAGGCGGGTGGGTTTGAACCTGGCCTGGGCCAGCTACACAATAATGACAACTGCAACCAAGAAACAGCTGGGCATTGAGGCTGGCGCCTGTAGTCCCAGCTACTAGGGAAGCTGAGGCAACAGAATTGCTTAAGCCCAAGAGTTGGAGGTTCTGTGAGCTGTGACACAATGGCACTTTACCAAAGGCAACATAGTGAGACTCTGTCTAAAATAAATACATAACTACATAAATAAAATAAGTACAGTGCTGTCAATAGCGTTTTACTGCTTCCCACTGTGAGGTATTACCAGTGAACATTGCACTCACCATGAAGAGCTCCTCTGGCGACTTATTTCCATCTAGCTCAATGAGATACTGGGGATCGTGTTCAGCCATTACTTGCTGCAGATAGTAGAAAATAAAGCTTGTAACCTGGGTTCACTAGGGAAGCTGAGCATAAGATCAGAATCTTAATATACTACAAAGAAATCTTTAAAATTAAACGGTTTGCCTTACACATGCTATTATATAATGTAATGTTATGTTCAGGGCTCAAGAGATCTTTTGCAAAATCCCAAACGAGTCTTCTCACCATGAATTTGATTCTCTCCATCTTTTCACTGTCCTGAAGTTTTAATGTTCTTCCCAATGCGCAATATTTTGAGGAATCTGTTTATTTGTACTTATGTGTAGCTTTGTGATTTGGTTTCAAACCACAGAAGAATCTGATTACAATTTAAATCACTGACTTTCTTCATATAGATACTAACATCGTTAACAAGTTTTTTATTATTTTACGACATAATTTTTCTTACAGAAAATTTGAAAAAACAGAAAAGTAGAGAGAGAAAAAAATCTCGAATCCAGCCATCCTAAAGTAACTACTGCTACTATCTTCCTCCCATTTCTTATTTCATGAAAAATTGTTTGGCATGTTTGAGATCATAACTCTTTCACTTAACCTTCAGATAATTTCAGGCAGAAAATTTCTTAATTTTCTCTAAGAAAAAATGTGTCATAAAATAATAAAAACTTGTTAACAATATCAGTATCTATAGGAAGAGAGTTGGTGTTTTAAATTTTAATCAGACTCATGTACGGTTAGAAACCAAATCACAAAGCTAGAAATAGGTACAGATTAACCTTCCCTATACTGTTACAAGATGATTGTCAGCACACTTGAATGGTTTTATAAAATTGCTTATTGTGGATACAGTGTAATTTACTTAATGTTCCTTTATTGTTTGACACTTAGATATGTCACAGTATTTTGCTAGTTTCCAAGCATTTCTTTTTTTTAGGATTTAAAAATTATATTCACCTTCAATAATTACAAGAGTAACTTGCGCTAACTGCAGCCAGTGCAGAAACACAGACGAGTAAATCAGAGCAATTACACAACCCCTCCCTGCTCCTCTACCCTGTCCCCCAATCTGGTGTGTCTCTCTTCTCACCATTCTTCTCCTTGATATAAATATAGATGTATGTACACCAATAAAGGTCCAGTAATACTGAGTAAGCTTCCTTTGATATATCCTGATATATTAGATATACAGGTCAGTTCCTAAAACTAGGTTTTAATATTAATATAGGTAGATATTGCCAGGTGGTTCTCCAAGAGGTTGTGGCAATTCAAAACTTTTACCAGCAGGCCAGGAGTGGAGGCTCACGCCTGTAATCCTAGCACGCTGAGAGGCCGAGGTGGGGAGACTGCTTGAGCTCTGGAGTTCAAGACCAGCGTGAGCAAGTGTGAGAGTCCATCTCTACTAAAAATAACAGCCAAGCATCCTGGAAGGCAGCTCCCTATAGTCCCAGCTACTCACAAGGCTGAGGCAAGAGGATCTCTTGACCTAAGAGTTTGAGGTTGCTGTGAGCTATGGTGACAACACAGCATTTGACCCTACACTGGGTATCAGCAATGTAAGGAGGTGACCCCATGCCTGGCCTTAAAGAAGTGGCCTCTGCATTTCCTCCCACCCCATGATATAGTTTTCTAAATTCTGAATCAGATGCTATTTTGCTTCATTCATAAGGGCCAGCCACTTATGGTGTAGTCAGGGCACTTTTATTGAAGGAATAAAGGATGTTATTGAAAGTCGTGTAATTTACTTGTAAGAAGCTATGTTTAAAGCCCAGTGATAGAAGGAGGGGGAGGGAAGAATAAAAGCCACATGTAAGAAAACAGTTCAATGTGGTTCTCATTTTGGGGGGCGGGTGATGAGAATGAGAACAAGCCACTCATTTATCTTAAAAATAGAAACATTATAAAACAGCCCGGAACAAATTCTTTCAGTTTCTCTGTAAGATGGGAAGAGGCAGTTTGAGGACTGTTTCTGATTTGTCTTCTCAGTTCCATCCCTTAGCCTAGCGTCTGGCCATGTATCCAAGTCCAATAAATGTTTGTTGACTAAATCTCCAACACAGCTGTGTATATTGGCGGAGTCTTCCCTGAAGTTTTGACCATATAAAATATGCTTTTCATAATTACAATCTCAATGATCATACTTTACAAAACACTAATTATTTTAATGAAAACTGTACTATTGTAATGTGTGATAGCCTTATCATGTTTCATCACTGTTAAATAGCTTTCATGTCTTCGTCAACTTTGAATGGGCTAACCACAGAAAACGATCTGGGGACAACAATTCTTTAGATTGCAATTTGACTGAATTGACAATTCCTTTCAAACCTTATGGATTGAAAATGTTTTTACATAACGGATCCTTAACATGAATTTTTCCAATCCCCATCCATAAGAGAATTCTCTTAGTGATTTTTGAAAAATGCAGCTCTTTTGTCATTTTTCAGCAACAGAGTTGGTTTGTAAGAGTAAAATAATATTATTGTGGGAAACAGCCTTTAGGGTGGAATTCTTTTCCCAATAGCTTTCTAGGGGAGACTTAGACAGATGTTGCATGAGGATGAAGACATAAAAGCTATTTCACCAGAGATGAAACACAAATATCAATTGTCCCGTTTTCAGCAATACAGTTTGTGCTTACTTCTAAAGAATGAAGAATTGTTTCCTTATAAAGTTTAACGAGGCTTTCAACATTTTCCAAATGATCCTCAGGCCTCTGAACTAGGTGGTGAATAATTTCAGCCACCATCTGCATTTCAGCAAGGAATGCCTAAATGGAAAAGAAGACATTTTAAGTATCTTTAGGTCAATGATTATTCAATTTACAAGCCACATTCCCCCGTCTTTACACCCAGATATCATATTGATCACCAATAAGTAGGGAAGAGTAGTAGAAGAACACCATATTTTTAAAGACAAAATAGAGAAATTGGATTTTCTCTGAATGCCTGAGTTTTAGTTCTTTCATTCACTCAGGAAACATTTATCAAGTACACACCACGTGTCAGGCACTGTTCTAGGAGCTTGAGCTACAGAAGTGAATAAAACCAACTAACACCCTTGTTCGAGGCCTAATGCAGCCCCATATGAACCCTTCCCCCTTCTCCTCCTCCTTTCTTCCTAAACAAAGGACACAAAGGACCTAGTTAGCCCCATCCCTAAAGTTCAGCCAAGGGGGACCCTAACTCATCAAAGCCCTCCAGGCAAGCTGTGGAATTTGTCCATCTTCTATCACCCCATATCAAAGGGGCCTCTAACTGTCCTCCAGGTGCAGACACTATTTTTGCACTGCCCAGGCTGGTTGCTGTCCCCCTTCAATAAACCTGACCTAAACTTCTTTGCTCCTTCCCAGACTTAACTCTGGGCACCCCCGCTTACACCTTTCAACCCTGGGTTTATGGAGCTCATGTTGCAGTTGGGGAAGACAGAGCATGTACAAACAGATAAACAAACATATAATATATTCAAATAGGTGATAAGCACCAGGGAGAAAGTAAGTAAGGCAGGGTATGGTAAGGCAGAGTATGGGAAGTGGTGGGAGGAGGTGCTATTTTATATCAAATGGTCATAGGAGGGTTCTCTGAAGAAGTGGCATTTGAGGTGAACCCAGAAAGAAGTGAGCCAGAAAGCCACACAGGTTTCTAGAGAAAGAACGTTTCAAGGCAGAGGGAATAGTACAGGTAAGAGTTCTGAGCTCAAGGCCCGACATATGTTAAGTCTGCTACATTATACTTATTACCATATTTATTCATTATTTCCAGTTTTTAGCAATGCAAACAACTAGAATCATGTTATCTATCCAAGCCATTCTATAATCTTTTTAAAATATTATTTTAGTGGTCAAGCGATGTACTAATTTCCCTGAACATATGATTAATCATTACTCTATAGCTAGAAAACGAGACTATTTCAGATTTTTCGCAATTATAAATGTTTCAACAAATAGCTTTGTAGCTAACTCTTTATAGTATTGCTGATCTTTCCCTTAGAAGAGTTCCTACTTGTAGAATTGCTGGACCAGAAGTTCTACATTTTGAAGTGGCTCAATACATGCTGTCTTTTCCGAAGGACGGTACTGTTTCTTTGCTCTCTAGCAGAAGGCTTTGCAGGTGTGCCAGGATTCCTTCAGTCAGCCATTATACCACTTCATCCTCAGTCCTATCAAGGACTGGAGGTCCAGTCCCTGTCACACAGACTTTACATTTGGCGGGGTAGACAGATCACAAGCAAGTAAAAGAGTAATGCAATTTCAGCAAGTGATGAGTGTTATAAAGAGAAAAAGTAGGGCAAAGGGTTTACATGCGTGTTGCCCAGCATGCTGGCTGTTAGTCACACGTTATCTATTGAGCACTTTAAATTTGACAAGCGTGAATTGGAATGTGCTGGAAGTGCAAAATAGACATCAGCTTTCAAAACTGTAGTATGGCCGGGCGAGGTGGCTCAGGCCTGTAATCCTCACAGCCTGGGAGGCCTAGGTGGGAGGATCACTTGACCTCACATGTTTGAGTCTAGCCTGAACAAGAGCGAGACCCTGTCTCTACAAAAAAGAGAAAAAATTGGGTGGACATGGTGGCATGCACCTATAGTCCCAGCTATATAGGAGGCTTAAGCAGGAGGATAGCCTGAGCCCAAACGTTTGAGGTTGCAGTGAGCTAGGATGACTCTATTGCACTCTAGCCTGGGTGATAGAGAAAGACAACGTCGCATTAAAAAAAAAAAAAAAAAAAGGAAGAAAGAAAAAATGTATCATTCTTAATTTTTTTATGTTGTGTGTAATAAAATTTTGGATATATTGGCTTAAATGAAATTTATTATAGAATTATTTCTCTCTCTTTTTAGTTTTTAGAAAGAATGACTACTAGCAAATTTAAAATCACATACAACTCACAGGCAGCCTTCTGGATTCTTGAGTGTGGCCTTTTGACTGAATCCAAATTCAGTATGGATTCAGTGGAGGGGCCACGCTGGGGGATCTGGAGGGCCACATGTGGCCTTGAGGCTGCAGGTTCTCCACCCGAAGAGAAGGAGCATCTGTGTGAAGAAGACTTGAAGAAGAGTGTTGTGGGCAGCAAGTGCCAAGGTTTCGAGTTCAAATGAGCTTAGCACAGTGGAAGACTAGCTAGAAGGCTGATGTGGCTGAAATACAGGGAACAGGCAGGGAGAGGGTAGCCAGGGTTGAGAACAGAGAGGCTGGGGGCCCATGGCCTAGTAAGCCGGGGAAGGGTGTTTGGATTCTAATGTAAAGGTAATGAAAAGTCATGGAGGGTTTTTTTTGTTTGTTTTTAACATATAGGTGTGTATTTCAAGGTCTCAATTGGCACCACTGCAATCCTAGAATTAGGCAACATTTCATTCCATAAAATCAAATAGATGTTCCTGGATTTTATGTTTCAAAAATGAGTTTGGCTTCTGGAAAGAGTGGAAAGGGTGGGGAGAATTGAAGAGAATGGAAGCCAAGAGAACATTTGCAAAGCCTTGCAGTAATTCAGGGTCATTGTTGAGTTTCGTGTGTACAGAAGGATGAACATCCCTTCACGTGATTATTGGCTATAGACCTGAGTTGCCACTCATCTAACTCCTGAACTTGCCCTTGCCACTAGGCAGAGATCACGCAAACCACATCCAGGAGGCTGTGTCTAGCCTATGGATTTAAATCCATCATCTCCTCTAACATGGGCCTACAGTGTGTTTCAATCATTTTGGATGAATTACCCAGTACATGTTAAATTCTGATATTTGGCTTCTTAGAAAAGCCAGACTACCTGGTAAAAATACTCCAACATTCCCACATGGCAACAGCTGGCTGTTGAGAGGCAGCTGTGCTCTGAAGAGGGGCACGTGCTATATCTCGCTGTCCAAAGCTCTTTGGTAGTAATGGAAACACTCTGTATCTGCGCTGCCAAATTAGGAGGGCACAGCAGTATTTGACTACCAAACACTCAAACTGTGGCCAGTGCTACTGAGGAACTAAATTTTAAACTTTATGTGATTTTAATTAGTTTAAATGTAAACAGCCATGTGGGGCTAGTGGTTCTGCATTAATAGATTAGTAGATTAATGGATTGATGGGTTCTCATGGGGGTGGAACTGGTGGCTTCATAAGAGGAAGAGAGACCTGAGTTAACACATGCAGCCCTCACCATGCTCCAGGCATCCTCAACCTACGGCCCGCTGGCCACATTCAGCCGGCCTAGGACATTTATCTGGCCCGGTGGGTGTTTTGCCGCCGCTGCCTGTCCTGCTTAGCAGCTGACTCATCCCAGGGCCCACAGTCGGGCCCTCCAATGGTCTAAGGGACAGTGAACTGCCCCCTGTTTGACAAGTTTGAGGACCCCTACTTATGCCCTCAGGACTCTGCACAGTCCCTATTAGCAAGAAGGCCCTCATCAGATGTGGCTCTCGACCTTGGACTTCTCAGGCTCCGTAACTCTAAGAAATAAATTCCTTACAAAAATAAATCTTCCAGTGCCAGGTATTCTTTTATAAGCAGCAGAAAATGAGACAACACATACTCTAATTCCACCTTCTAGCACAGTGCTTGACACAGAGTAGGTGACCAAAAACTTGGTTGCTGTAAAAGGAACCCAGTAGGTGACCAGCTGGGATGGAGAGGGACCTCCACCCTGGCAGGAAGGGCAAAGTGGACTTCAAGATTATCATGCTCTCACAGTTCTTGAAAACATGGCATATTTTTGCTTATTTCCTCCAGATCCAATAAAAATGTAAAGAAAATATGGTTTTCTCTACTATCTGCTGCTTCCTCTTGCCCAAACTGCCACTCAGTTTGACTGTAGCAAATTTTAAAAGTCTAGTCCGTGGTAATGGCCTGCGGGGATATTACCTCTTCTTCTTCTTGCTCTTCCTCCTCCTCTCCTTCCTCCTCCAGTTTTCCCTCTTTGTGGGCTTCTTTCTTCTTCTTCCTACGACTCTCAATGACTTCAGGATCCCACTGCTCCTTCGTGTATACGTGCCCCGTGCTACTGTGCTGTCTTTGCCCAGAAATTCTTTGGCATAAATCATAGTCAGGACACTATGGAACATTATTAAACCACTTACAACATTTTGAATATGCTTTAATTCCCTGTGTAGTTATTGTATATATTATGCGATAATGAAGAAAATATTCATCAAAAAGCTCAGCAAATGCAACATTATGATTGGCATTTTGCATCGGGTTTTATTACATGCCAAGAGAGGCCCAAGGCACAACTTCTATGCTACAGAGGCATTTTTATTTGTCTGAAATTCACAGATGTGAGAAAGTATTACAATAGAACAGGGTTAGAACAACAGGAAGAGTAGAGAAATAGAATAGAACATCAGTTTAGTCTGCAAAGTACACAGGAGGATCCTATCAGATTAGATTGAACAGCTGAAGATGGAGGAAAATGGTGAAAATATTCATGTATTTCCAGCAAAAAATATTGTCTTTTAAGAATATTTACTGTCACTCACAGCTTTACGGGTGACGTAGTTCAGAAAATGCCCATCATGGATAGGACCTGAAAGATCGTCTATTACAAGCTAACCTTTACATTTTGCAAATGAGAAAACCAAGTCCAGATGGTTTAAAAAAAAAAAAAGGCAAAACCAAAGAAGAGAAGTCATTTTCTTGTTTCAAAGTGCTCTTCCATGTTCACATGAGACTCTCAACCAACCCTGTACCATCCAAAGTTATTATTAAGGCCATTCTGCAGGTTGGAGAACTACAGCAGCTTTAGAGACTGGTCTCGGATCACAATTTCATACAGAGAAACTGCAACTTAGAAGTAGGCCTCCAGATCTGAGCACAGTCCCAGGTCTGTGAGTGCATTAACCTTCATGATAATTATGGCCTGTAGCCGTAAATCCTCCTCTGAATATACGCCAGGATAAAAAAAACCTGGTTAATATTCTATGGCAGTGATTCTCAAGCATTAGTGTGTAACTGAGTATGCCTCATCTGCAGACCTTGCTAAAGAGATTTCTGCTCCCCGTTGTAATTTAGGTAGTTTGGGGTAAAGTCTAAGACACTTTAACAAGCATCCTTGGTGAATTGGATGTGGACGGTTCATGTAACACACATGAAAAACAAAGGAAGCAGGAATGTCAGAACCTCCCCAGCTAATTTTCTGATATTTTCATGCCCTTTCTTTGTGGAGATGGGGCAGGTATCCACGTAAGACCAAACCATCAGAGAAATGTGTGCTGTGCTGAGTTACGTCTCTCATTGGGCTCTCTGACCACACTCTTGTTAGCCTATGGAAACTGCTGGGGACACTCATCACCGCACTTTTAGTACGAATGGGGTTAAGGACATCATTCATTACATTAAGCAGTCTCGTGTATTAAGACTTGAATATTTCTCTCATTTACAATGGGAGTTTTGCTTTTCCTGAGGAAAGGCTTATCTTCTCACAGACAATGTGAATTCTATACCTGGTTATATTTCCTCTTTTACTTTGGCTCATCAAACTTTGAACAAAATTTAGGGCCCCAATTTAGTAAGCAGGTGGGTTATCTGGACTGTATTTGTGTGTATTCCCTTTCCACCTGGTTTTAATTTTCTATTTAGTCAGTCTTTTCCCTGGCTTAGATTTTATATTTGCTTTCAGTTAACCATTAGAGATCTTTTCTCCATTGCACACATGTTCATGTGGGTGACATCCTTAGGTTCACTCGGGATTCTGGTTGACCCCTTGTCATGAGCTGTGACTGGGGCTGCAGATGACACCACACTGGGCAATGCAAGGCCACGTCTCTTGCAGCTGACCTTGATGCCCCACTGGGTCCCAGCATCTGAGCTCAGAATCATCTGATTTATTTTGAGCCATCATAAACTCCTTGGGGAAGCAGGCAGGGGATGAATACACACGCTTGTCATTTATTTTCACATAAACAAGCAGATGTCACCTCCCTGAATTCTTATCACAACCCCATAAGGCAGCTTTGAAAAGGGGAAATCAAGGCTTCTAAATGTATTCACCAAATCCTAAGAGTTAATAAAGGAGAGAATTAGGAACAGGACTCAGCCTTGACTCTAAATCAATGAAGTAATTTCCTTTCACATTCACACATCCAAGTCATGTGTCTTGCATTTTATTTAATTGGCACCTTATTGGGTATCACCAGGTACCATCCTGTATACTAGTTGATGCTTATATGAGTAAGACATAGCTCCTGCCTTTTAGTAAGACAGAGTCTACAAGGAAATGGACAATTATAACAATGAGGTGAGTAGTATGGGAAGGAGAGAGGACCACATATGGTCATCAGACAAGTATTTCCTCTCTGTGGTAAGTAAGGTGTGGATGAGTGAGAAGGAGAGAGAGGGAGGGAAAGCAAGAGCGAGATAAAGAGAGAGAGAGGTGGTGGACAGGGTGGTTATCAGGGGAAGTTCTGAAGGGATGATGCCTGAACTGACTTACAAAGGATGGCTATGATTAAGCCAAATGAACAGGCAAGGAAATGATCTATGGGACAGAGGTGCCGGTTCAAAAGCACAGAACTATCAGTCCTAACGATTGATGTGTAAGTTCCTGAATATTTCCATAACCCAAATGTTTACATTTTGAAAACATTCCTTGAATTTAACTACTATCGAGAAGAATGGTATAGTATATTAGAAAAACCACTAACATTTACCTTAATATTGATTATAACATCAGGTTTCAAATTTAAGTTTTTAATTAATTCTAGTTGCTGCAAGGTAGTCATGGAGTCCTGGGAAAGTGATGGTATTTCAGTGATAATATAGCCTGTAAAGTAAAATATAATTTTATGATGTTATCAATATATGAGAGCATGGATTTATGATTACTACTTTATAAAATGTCACCTAGTTATTGATGAATATGGATGCAGGTCATAACATCATCTGTCAAAAGTTTTAAATTAGAATATGGGGAGGGGGGATGGGTGGAGGGAAGGTGATTGGAGGGATCACTTCTATGGTTTATCTTACAAGGGTACAAGTGAATCTTTCTTTCTTTCTTTCTTTTTTACAAGTGAATCTTTCTAAGAGAATATAAACGTCTTAACACAATAACTAAGAAAATGACACAAAGGTTATGTTAACCAGTTTGATGAAAATATTTCAAATTGTATATGAAAACACCACACTGTACCCATGATTGCATTAATGTACACAGCTATCATTTAATTTAAAAAAAGAAAGTCATTATGAAATATGATTGTGTAAGTACTATAAAGAAATAGAATTGTGCAAGAGAACTTGCAAAGCGTTTGAGCAAGACTGCTTTGCGTACTCTCAGTTTTTCATGGCCTACCCTTAGGAAAACATTGTCTTAACTGAAGTTTATTATTATACTCCTAAGGTATTCATTTTCCCCTAAATAAGAAAATAAATTCTACTAAGCATTTAAAAACATTTTTTAAATTAACATTTAAGGTTATTGCTACATGAAATGTAACTATGAATAATGTTTTTCTGATAATAAAAAGAACGGGGCTAGAAGGAGACACTTCTTAAAATTCCAAATCAATTGATTTTAGATAGATGAGGTGCCTTTTTTTTTCTTTTTTGAGACAGAGTCTCACCCTGTTGTCCAGGCTAGAGTGCCATGGCATCAGCCTACCTCACAGCCACCTCACACCCCTGGGTTCAAGCGATCCTCCCACCTTAGCCTCCCAGAGGGCTACACTGGTGTGAGCCACTATGCCCAGTTCATGCTGGTAATTTTTTTAACTCATGTTAGGAAAGCTCATATGGAGACTGGTAAAGGTATATTACAGGGGTTGCATGGCATATTATTTTTCTCTTAAATTAACATCTCACGATGTAGTAGAATATATATGTATATAGTGTTTATGTAAGTTACAGAAAGTAAGAAACCCCCATGCAGCCACCATACAGTTTAAGAAACCACACTATGGAGGTGATTGGGGCTTAGCACAGTTAGTGGCTTACATCCCCACCCAGAAACCGAAATCTTCTCATTGAAATTCATCATATTTGCAATCATCACACTAATTTCCCTACCAGATTTCTTTAATTAGGTCATTGTCTTGATCAAGAAACTTTTTTTTT